TGCAACTTCACGCGAACCACCGCTGACGATAGCTGACGTATCGCTTCGTAGAAGACGCTCTAGGCACACTCCGTTGCTGCGGTGGTTACGGACGCACTGGATGCTGCACACGCGCACGTCGCAGACGGGTGACCGCGGAAGATGCGGGTTTGGCAGCAGTGGATGAAGGCATGTGTCGCAACATAAAAAATGCGCAAACGCCAGCGCAGCAGCAGCGGCGTTTGATCGATCGATCGCGCCGGTCGTGTCTAGAGGCTCGCTAAATAGCGGGTGCGCTCGCACGCATGCGCGAGTACAACAGTGAGCGACGGGTTGCTATACCGTCGTCTGCAGTTTCGCGCGTCTTTCACGCGGCGCTAGAATTTCAGCGTCACCGTTTTCTTATTCGTTATCAAGTTTATTTTAAATTTTTATTTATTATATTTCTATATATCTTTATTATATTATATTATAGATATATACAAACACATGTGTTTGTATATATATCTATGATTATATTTATTATGAATATTCATTGTTTTTTTTTAAATTAAAATTCGTATCAGTTTCTATTTTTCGGAAACGGGCGTGTGCGGTCGAGCTGGTTCCAAGCCGATTGCATGGGAATGTATTCACTATATTTTATTCTATTTTTCCTTTGTTTCGACTGCTCTTGTATTTATATTCCGTTTCAGAGATTCGTGAAGTTTGGCGTTACTCTGGCGTTTTGGTTTTGGTTTTGATTTTGGTTTTGGTTTTGGTTTTGGATACTTGGCGTCAGTCAGTAAACGTGTGCTCTTGTTTTTTTTGCGGGAAGCACGCTTTATCCTAAAGCACTGCATTGTGGTGGTCTCTGATCCAGGGGCCCGTTGTCAGAAACAAAATTAGTTTTAACATTAGTCTTAACATTAGCGTTAACTTCATGGTGTCTCTGACAACGGCCTCCAGGGCAGTGAGTTTTTGTTTGCCATCAATGAGATTTATCACTGTGAATGTCAACCCGTATTGCTAACTTGTTTTGCAGATAAATAGATAATTTATTATATCATGATTATTCATCATTAACCTGTTAGCAACAGTGCGGAGAACTGGTTTAGATGTTTTTGTCAAACTGAATTAAGTTTCTTGAACTCTTTGCCACATGGTGTTGTACAATGGTCTCGATCACAGGCAACTACCGTACCTAACTGAGAGAGGTGAAAGTTTTGTCTGTTTCTTAAAAATATTAAATATTGCTTAGTAAAAACATTATACCCTACGAAAAACAAATACTCAAGTCAACTTTAAATGCCTCACATGACAGTTTTGTTGCTACTTGGCACTCGTAATATTTTTAAGATTAAATTAATACTTTACCAGAGACTTTACTGTATATTGCGTAGTGGCGCCATCTAGCAGAGGGAAAAAATGGTTTTTAAACCTGGGTGTTTCAAATAGGATTTGGTACCACGGTGGGAAATAATTTCGCATTGGCGGCCATACTTACAAAAAAATTCCCATAAATCAGTAACCTGTATAATACCAGTCGTCATGTTACGCTTGACTGCGTTCGCTACACTGACGCCTTGTAAGACGAGAAGGCAGCCTAAACAGTTCGCAAACCTCGTTATCGATAAACGCAGAACGAGGCTAAGCATGCCTAGACTGGTACCCGTCGCCTTACACATGCTGTTACGAAAACCTCGATCCTAAGAAGCAAAGGTTTAGTGTCCCCACCTTGCAGCCCGACCTGGTCAAGACTCTTGCATTCGTGTGAAACTGTTCGACCGGCGGTTACCCAGTCTAAAGCAGCCCCTGCCCAAATCCCGCACCAGGCACATATATTATTTTTGGTGGTATCTAGTTAATGCTTTATTCAGAAGCATGCATTTTTTACGTTTTAAATTATATTTTAATTATAACTATTTCAACATGCTAATATAAACTATTTATAAATAATTATAAATTAGTTTATCTGCAGTTAAAATGTTGACGGAAATGCACGTCAAAGCAAAGGACTGCTCGCTGTGCATTGGCCGTTCTGGCTCAGTCAGCACGCACCACTTTATATAGTAAGTAAACCTGTATAATACCAGTTCGTCATGTTACGCCTTGACTGCGTTCGCTACACTGGACGCCCTGTAAGCGAAGGCAGCCTAACACGTTCGCAAACCTCGTTATCGAATAAACGCAGAAAACGAGGACTAAGCAGGCCTAGACTGGTACCCGTTCGCCACCTTCACAATAGGCCTTGGTGTAGCTGTGTGGAACTGTCGACCGGTACCAGTCTAAAGCAGGCCGCAAATCCGCACAGGCCACATTATTTAGTTATGGTGGTAATCTAGTTAATGGCTTTATCAGAAGCATGCAATTTTTACAGTTATGAATTATATTATTATAACTATTATAAAACTAATATAAACTATTATAAACTTATAAATATAGTTATTGCAGTTGAAATGTTGACGGAAATGACGTCAAGCAAAGGACTGCTCGCTGATTGGGCGGCTTGGCTCAGTCAGCAGCCACCCACTTTCTGTAGTAAGAGGTTAACGCTCTAGCTGAGTAGGCCCTAGCGGCCGTTACGAGCAGGAGCGGTAATCATTAACGTTACCATAAGGCGCGTTCACACGGACGTTTTTGGCCCGAGCCTAATTAGGCCCGTGCCAGATTTGGCTCGAGCCGAGCGTTCACACGGACGTTTTTGGCCCGAGCCTAATTAGGCCCGTGCCAGATTTGGTCCCATCGAAAACGGCGGACCAGGCCGAGCCAAATTTTAGCACCAGCTTTCGGCGAGAGGTAGAGCGGTAGAATCGGTTGAGCGGTAGATGCTGCGAGTGTCAAACGTGTACTTCGACGAAATAAAGTCCAAAACAGTATAAAAATTCGACAAATTTGATCAGGATGCACGTTTTCAAGATTGATAATTGAACTCGGAAGTAAACACTCTAAATCGTACACAACGCCATCTCGCGACATACTGCCAAAGTATCTGTGAGATATTTGTGCAATAAAATTTATTTGAATTTGAATTTGAATTTGACAGACAGTATTTACCTCCCCCCTACTTGCGTACGTGTGAACGCCTCGACTCAATTAGGCCCGAGCCAAATTTGGCCCGAGCCAAATCTAGCCCATTTGGCTCAGCCAAATCATGACCGTGTGAACACGGCTATAGTAAGAGGTTAACGCTCTAGTGAGTAGGCCCTAGCGGCCGTTACGAGCAGGAGCGGTAATCATTAACGTTAATAAATCAGCAGAAGTTTTTTTGATAAATCACGATACATCCTTTGAATCCACGTCGCAAGTGACACCATTTGTGTTATTAACTCAAAAATTCTTCCATAATTTTTTTTGTAAACAAACATTTGCTGGCACACACTCGAAATGGCCAATTTGCAATGTGATTTTGCGCGAAAAAGTAGGCTTTCTTTGCACTATTTCGTCTCTAGAAAATGCCTTTTTTGGCATTTTTTTCGCTGAAATTCGGCACTAGATTGCAATAATTTGCATTATGCACGCAAGTTAGATGCCTCGTGAAGGTCTAAAAAGCATTAAAAGTAAAATTGGTCTTGTTGTGTAATTGTGCCATTCCAGCTAGTGGCGTATCCATGGTCGCCGGTCGGCCATTTTTGTGTATGAAATGTAGTCAGACAACTTTGTAGAAATTCGCATCATAGAGCTGGCAAAATTTCGAGCGGAGCATCTGTAGTTATTTAACATGAATATAGTGTATGTTGTGTAAACGAAGTAACAGTGTGAGTATTTTCTCACTATAATATCTGTTCGATGCTTATTCAGGCCTGCTGCTTATGGACGCCATCTACTGTTGTTCACCACCCCCTACTGTTGTTGCCCCCTGGCTCCGCCCCTCGTGACGTCTGGTGGCACTCAACGCGCTCACGTACTCGTGGCACCATCTATGGGGAAATTAATTGCCTAATCACGTAACGCTAAGAATGTCTGCTGGTGGAAACGCGAGGAGCTAGGTGAACAGGCGTGCTTCATGCAAGTTTGTTACAATATGAAGGCACGATGAATGGCGAATGAACTGTGTATATTATCGCAGCGTATATTAAATTTGCCCTGTTCAGCAGCACACGATGGCTATAAAAGGCGTGGCAGTTTATTGTAGTGTGAATGTACGACGGCGATGGCAAGACAAACAGACGCCTGTCAGACGAAGACTACGTCATTAGTTGCAAAAAAGTGTATAATAGTTAATGTGCTCTTCATTGAACATTATCGCGCCATTACGTGCCATGTCAGTGGAGGCATCCCTTCGTCGACGTACGCATCTCCCAACTGGCTATAAATAATTTTAATTAATTTGGTCTAATTACGGTTTAACGGATTTCCTGGCTGGTTTGCTCGCAATCCTTGCTTGGATTGACAATCCAACAGCTGATGCGCATTTTCGTGGCGGTCTCACAGTTTACAAATGATAAATACAAACACCAACCGAATCAGTTTAATCTAAATCGAGTACTTTAACGTCTTCTTCGTCTGTTTTCAGAAGCCTCGGGAAAATGATAGGGGCATGGAGCGTGTCTGAATCGGACCAGCGATCACGTGCACGTTCTACAACGCCGTGCTAGATCTACCGTCGTAAAGCCTGACGTTTCGTGAAGCCTAGCTCAAGAAGTGAGAAAACACCGTGTGCCCAGAAATTAATTGGGCCCGTCCTACGAGTTACATAGATGCGCGCGCCACAGGTGCTGTTGCCGCAGATATCCACTCCCTTTGACATCAATACCTAATGCGAACGGACCGTATAGCTTGTGCAGCCGTGTTGCTATTCGTCTACCGTTGTCGTCGGCAACGGTGTCAATCAATGAGTCAAATACACATTTATAAAGAATATGGCTCGAGATTGCCACCGTGTGAGTAATGTGTTCAAGCGTTAGTTGACCAGCGCGTGTTCCTATCGCTACCTGGCTGCGCGTGACGTCACGAAGCTGTACTATAATCCCGGACTCGTGCTTGCAACGAGTTCGCGTTCTGTGGGTCGTCAACGTGACGTCTAGCTAAAACACACGACAATGCTCGACTATGAGAACGCGTCGGCGAACGACAGCTATCCGTCGCCGACTCCGCCCGGTCATCCGTACCAGAAGTGGCTTCGCATCGGCGTCATCATCGTCATCTACGTCGTCTCGCTCGTCGGCAACACGTCGGTGTGCATGTGGATGTAGCGCAACAAGCAGTTCCGCGCTCGTCGCATAAACAGGTTCATCTTGCATCTCACCTGCGCCGATACGTGGTTCACGATGCTGTCACAGATCGTCTTCGAGTCGATCGGCACCGTGTGGCTGCTGGACGAAGCGAGCTGCCGCATATTCAAGATGCTGCAGAATTTCTCCATCGTGTCGCCGACGTACGTCGTGACGAGCATAGCGATCGACCGGGCTTTCGCTATCGCGCGCCCGCTCTCTCGGCCGCCTTCCGTTAACAGGTTTCTGATCGTCGCTTGGCTGTGCTCGCTCATACCGTCTATACCGAGCCTGTTTCTCTTCCACCGAAGGCAGGAGGGCGTAAACACTTACTTTTGGTCTTCGATCTTTCACGATATTCTCAGCAAGACGATTTACCGGCAGGTGTACATGTTATTCATATGACTTTGCGTGTTCTTCATACCGCTGCTGATCATCCTAGTGTCGTATACCATGATCGTGTGGGCGATATGGAAGAAGGCACACGACGATGCTAAGGCAGCAGCGGCGAACCACGTCGAGACGGTTGGCAACCACGTTACGCGACGCCCCATCACCACAGGTCCCGTGTGTAACTCGAGTCTACCGAAGGCAAAGATGAAGACATTGAAGCTGACGATAGTAATAGTGCTTACGTTCATCATTGTGTGCAACTTGCCTTATTACATCCAAGAAATGATGCTAGCTTTCGGCGATCCATCGATTTTGGACATGGTATAATCTCCGACAACAATAGTGCAGCTAATCCCTATATTTTCCTGCTGTTTAACTGTCGCAACAAGTTTGTGTCGTCTGCCATCAACCAATTTTATTTATCCTGTATTCACTCCAAGCAAAGCGAAAGTTCACATAGTTCTCGCAGTCAGCACCGGCACGGAAACTCTGAGGATAACAGTAACCATAGGATAAAGTATACAATTATCATCTATACAAACCGCGAAACAATAAAACAGAGTAGCGGCTTAAAACACTCGAATGATGTGATTTTTTAGTAAGAAATTTCAATTGAAAGTCTTTGTTTTTTACGTAATTCCAAAAGTCGTCAGCATATTATGAAATAATATTAGATCTTTACGGGCACAACCCCTCATGTTTTAACGTTTGTAACGTATCCGTTTACATGGTGTTGCGAGTTGCACAATAAACAGTCTGTTCCCCACAATATTATTGTCTCCATCGTTGACTCTTGCGAGCGCATTATCTTGTCCCACCCCTAACGATCAACGAGGCAGGTTCACATTTCCGGATGGAAGAGATGTCACCTCAGGATGAGTGGCAATATCATGGGAGGCAAAACGCCAGCTAAAGGCAATGTTATGAAACGGACAACATAGCTGCCCGAGTTTGGTTTAGTTAGGAAACGATAGAGAGCGGGGCAATTTAAACTAGATACCAAAGATCGTAGAGTGAACAAGATGAACCACTCATGCGAAATCACGTGCAATGATAAACTAGATACTAACTACTAGGTCTACACCAAACTGCATGCAGCGCCCCCCCTCGCGCACTCAGGATAGAATTGAGCCAGAGCGAGAGCGCCATCTGTCGTGGAGTTTGGGTCTACACGTCAATCACGCCGCAGTGTGGAATACGGCAGCACACGCAAAGTTCTGATATATATATGTGGATTCTGTAGTGATGTAAAAGGATGTAAAGGTGTCACAAATCTTCGTGAATCACACTGTCGTTATCGTCGCCGTGTACATATATGTGTGGGTGTGTATATATATATATATATAGAGAGAGAGATAGGTAAATTATTATATAATATATATATATAGAGAGAGAGATAGGTAAATTTTATATACTATATCGCTTACGAAATTGTTTCAGTGCTACATGCACAGTCATATATCTTATAATATGATCATATACTTTGTTTGATGCCAGGCTTTGTTTGCTCGTCTTTTCTTTATACCCACGAAACTTTCGCATGCCAACTGATCTGTCGCGCTTACTTTCTCATCATTTTTGAATTGCTAGTAGCAGCCCGAACAGTGTCCTAGCGCTAAATATTCTCACGAAATACAAAGACGTTTGATACCGGACCGGAATACACGGACTACGCATGCAGTATTTGAATATAAAGTTCCTCGTATTTGGTTTTGTAATTCCTTGAAAACATAGTACACCCGCTATAGAATTTCTACCTCAATTTGATCTAAAACGAGTAATTTCGGCTTGTTCTTACTCGCAAGCAAATTTCATGTTTACACAACGACGAAAACTTAACGGAACATAAGTTTTACTAAGCTAAGTACTCCTTAGCTTACCTAAGGCTGAGCAAGAGACGGTTTAATATTAATTAATTTGAACCGGTTTGTTCTCGATTTTAATGCTCTAAATAGCTTTTCGTAAACGATTTTATCACGATTATATGCTCATCTCTGCTTTTACAGATCAATAAACCTAAGGTACGCTGGTCTCCAGTTGTGAGCAGCGGGGAGATGGTTCTGTTAGTAGCATATCCGTATTGCCATAAGAAGCCACGCAGGGTGAAGGGCTTAATAGCACATCGCGGCAAAGGGCGAAGGGCTAAGGGTGAAGGGCTTAATAGCACATAGCACATAGCACATCGCGCCTTACATAGGGGCAATGTAATTACATGTACTCGTGTTGTCTCTGTCTACTGTGCCAAGAATGCGCTAACATTCGCAGCTCGTACAGATGTGGCCAAATGCACATTTCCTGTGAATATAATGGCAAATTAAGACCAAGGTATGTACACGACTTAGTAATTATGTTTTGCATATGTTTTGCATATGTAGCCTACTAATAAATAAACGCGAGCTATTATGTTATATTATAATACGTATAGGTGCTAACGTATTTGTTTTTCTAATTGATGAATAAAATTTGACAAACACTTTCTGCAGTGTTTATTTTCGAGAGGTCATGCATCCTTATTGTGCGCCTGCTCATCGTAACTTCTTATATAATGCAATTAGGTTAGATATCCCAGGGATAAACACACAGCAAGCATTTGACGTTTAAATATTAAATTCCTAGTGTTTTTTCGTAATTCTTGGTAAACACAAGGCACCCGCCACGGAATTTCTTCCTCGATTTGATCCGAAACGATGCACGTTACCTTGTTCTATGTTTGCTTGCAGAAAGAACAGACGCTAGTTATACTTTCTATGGGGATTATGCCAGAATCAAGGAAACGTTATAATGGAATCTCTTGTGATCTGTTGACTTGGCTGCAAAAACGCTCGAAGATAAACAAAAGACTCATCCGGATTCATGATCAGTTATACGGAACGAAGGAAAGGGTGAGTTTTGTAGGAAAAACTAGAGCGGCGTGCCACTGCACTATTTGCTTATCAGCAAAAAGCTGTTTGCACGCGACTAAAAACATAATAGATGCTATTTGGCGATTTCTCCTGTGCCACTTCTGTAAGCAAAGGAATCTTTTTTCGTATGGCAATCGGTCTTAGGTAATGTCGTAAAAGTATAAAATGGTAGAAATCACTCATACATGGGCTCTTCTTACAAATTACAATAAAAAACACAAGCAGCAGGCTACGTAACAAATATCAAAGCGAGTAACATACGCGTGGAAAGTCATGTTAGTGTATGGTATCCATTATGCATCTACCACAGTCCAGGTAATCCGTTGAGAAATATTTGTGTTTCTCCTCAAAATGCGTCACGCACAATTATGCCCTATTCGAGTTCCCGGGCTCGCAGCGGATTATTGGAACAGAAAGCAAAACAGAGAGGCGATTCTATTATTATCACTTCATATAATTAGTGTACGAGCAAACAGGCGTGCACCCCGTAACATAGCGACGTGAAATACGATTTTGCAACATGCCCAACAAACGTAAAGTAAACGCACAATGCACAGCATCGACTTGGGTAACGTAATGAAGGCGTCATTATCGACTACGCTATTAAGGGTTAATGGGTCCCTATATAATAGTCGTAGCGTTTTTTTACAAAGTTAATACTAACAGCGAACACAGAGACATCCCTTAACCAAAACGAAGTAATCAGCAAATTCACTATACACTCAAGATACTGAGTGTATAATTATTTGCTTGTTAAAGTTATATTTCGCCTGCGCCTGTTCCATATCAGAGCTATCCTTCTGCATGCCTCCTACTATACGCACGAAACAATCGATTGTTATTATTGACAGCTGGTGGGGGCGCCTCTCTGCAGCTGCTGTGTAACGGTACTTTTAGCGGTTGCGAATACGAACAGGATTATTTCCTCTCGCATGGAACCTCTTTTCTTCAAGCGTCTTTTGTCAATTTGAAATGGTGGCTCGCGAATAGTTGACGGTTGCGGTGCCAAATTAGATCTTATCTAGAGTAACGGCCGATGACACCTGTTGCTAGAAGAGTTAGAAAAGGTAGGAGAGAAAAATGGAACAAAGATATACATGTCGTATGTATGTACGAACGTATCGATATATAAAAATTATATATATATAGATATATTGTAGGCGTGTTATTCGCCCTACCGTAGTAGAAGGTCTGTAGTAGACTGATAGAGATAAAACAAGACAAGAAGTAACGTTCACTGGTGTTTACTCAATCTCTAATACAATACATGAGGTCTCCGTGCACTACCGAAAGCAAGAGCGGTTACTACACACTACACTATTTCTCAGCGGGTGGCTGGGACAAGAGAGCCTCTAGAAGCGCGGCGGCTTCCGCTATTTATACGGCGTTCCCTCCCCTACGTCACCGTCTTATTTTAGCTCCCCTTTCCGGCCAATCGG